AAAAAAAGAATTCCCTGAGTTAAGGAGACAAAGCTGAGAGTTCAGGAAGACTGAAGTAGCTAGAGTTTGTAGGAGAGGGTACAGGGATGACAGAAAGACAACACTGGCATAGCAAAGGCTATCCAAATGGTTTAAAAAAGGAATTTTTTTTTTTTTTTAAAGCTAGGCTTGGCATGGTGGCTCATGCCTGTAATCCCAGTGCTTTGGGAGGCTGAGACAGGTGGATTGCCTGAGCCAAGGAGTTCAAAATCAGTCTGAGTAACACGGTAGGACCCCATCTCTACCAAAACAAACCAAAAAATTTAGCTGGACATGGTGGCACATGCCTATAATTCTAGCTACTTGGGAGGCTAAGGGAGGACAATTGCTTGAGCTCAGGAGTTTAAGATTGTAGTGAGCTATGGTCATGCCACTTCAGTCAAGCCTGGACAACAGGGTGAGACCCTGTCAAAAGAAAAGAAAAGAGAAGAGAAGAGAAAAGGAGAACAGAGGAAGAACGGAAGGAAAAAAGAAAGAAAGAAAGAAAGAGAGAGAGAGAGAGAGAGAAAGAAGAGAGGGAGAGAGAGAGAGAAAGAAAGAAAGCAAGAAATAAAGAAAGGAAGGAAAGAAAGAGAGAGAAACAGAGAGGGAAAGGAAAAGAGAAAAAGGAAAAGAAGGAAGAAATAGAAGAAAGGAAGGAAGATAACTCTGGAGGTCTGCAGAGAACCTCCTTTAATATTCAGCTGAGTACTGACTGGTGCATGCATGCAAAGAAACTATGCAAGGCCTGGGACAGAACCACTAAAAAGGATTAGCAATAATGTGCCTGTCATTCATACCAAGCTGGGAATAATGCCTGTTCCACCAGCCAGACAGGAAAATTTCAAGATTCATGGGCACTGGGTAGAGTACACAGAAGAATCCTAACTCAGTAATAAGGAATAATTAGTTCTGTATTAACCACTGCCCCAGACTTGCCCAACAAATCTTAAAAGCAAGACCCCAAAAGATCAAACTGTTTTGGAACATTTGTAGGAATTCAAGAATGTCTAGTAACCAATAAAGTAAAATTTATAATGTCTTGCATCCAATAAAAAATTACCAGGCAGGAAAATAAGATATATTATTAGGTGATAAATCAAATGAAACAAACCCAGAACTCATGCAGATGTTAGAATTAGCAGACAAGGTCATTAAAACAGCTATTGTAACTTTATTCCATATGTTCAAAAAAGTTAAGAGACATCAGAGATATTAAAAACCTCAAATTTCTGGAGATGAAAACTACAATGTATGAGATGAAAACATAGTAGGTAAGACTAATAGCAGATTAGATAGTGCAGAAGAAATGGTCAGTAACCTCAAGAACAAAACAATAGGAACTATGCAAAATGAAATACAGAAAGGAGATTTTTTAAAATAGAGAAGTTCACCAGTGACTTTTGGGACAATTTCAAACAGTCTAATTTTAAATATAACTGAAGTCTCTGAAGGAGGGAATGGAGAACACTGCATGCCAAAAATTGTCCAAATGTGATGCAAAGTATAAATGCACAGGTCCAAGAAACAAGAAAAAAACTATACTCAGGTACAGCATTAGGAAATTGTTTAAAACCAGCAGTAAAGAAAAAATCTTAAAAGTAGGCAGAAAAATGAGACATACTACATAGAGAAAAATAAAGATATGGATGATAGTAGATCTTTTTGTCAAAAACAAAACAAGCAAGAAGACAATGGAAAAACATTTTCAAAGAAAAAAAACCCTGTCAACCTAGAATTCTATACTCAGCAAAAATACTTTTCAAAAATAAAGGAGAAAGCTATTTTACACATATAAAAGCTGAAAGAATGCATCACTAGTATACTTGTTAACAACAAAAAGTTAAAGGAAGTACCTCAGGCAGAATGAAAATGAAACCACATAGAAATAAGGGATCTACACAAGGAATGAAGAACACCAGAAACATGGGTGCATATGGGTAAATACATGATTGTTTTCTTATTATTTAAATCTCTTATTTAATAAAAGATAATTGACTCTTCAAACAAAAATAACAATATAGCATGAAGTTTTTGATATATGTATGAGTAAGATGTATGACAACAATAGCACAAAGACCAGGAGGGGATTTCAATACACTGAGGATGCCAGCATGGGAACATTTTTTAAAAGCCTAATCCTTGATGTTACTGCAGAGCAGCTGAACCAGTATTAACAATCGCCTACCTACCTTTGAATTATTCGATGTGAGAAAGAAATATGTTTGATCAAATCTTTGATTTTGTTTTTTTACAACCATAAACATTTCTGATACAACATCCATAACATAGCTAACATGGCATTAGTAAAGGACCCCAATGAAACTGATTATCAGTTGCTTCCAGGCTCTATGAACTCGAATCAGAAAATCTGTGAAAAATGGACACTTACCCATGCTGGGTGTAGTTCCTCCCTCTGATAAACCAGAACATAATTCAATCCGATCAGCACCTGTAACATAAAAGCATTGCTCAACACATTTTTAAAAAATAAGCTCTTATTAAACAGCAACCTGTTTATACATATTTTTTTCCAAATATGGAATAGTCTTAGAAATAATCTCAGAGAAATCAAATTATAAAACTAGAGTAAAACTGTTTTTAACTCAGTTATACTCTGCAGCCCACATTGTGTTACTGATACTCAAATTTAAGAGTTAATTAAAGTTAAGCTAGTTCTCTTAAAATTTTGTATTATAGAATTGCCTCTTTATATACAGGAAAGTAACAAAGAATAAAAACATTTCTTAAAACTGACTACAACAGTGAAATACTGAGTCTTTGGTGATAAGAAAATAACATAATCTTTTCCAAAAGGGTCTTTAGTATTCTAAGCTTTAAAAAACACAGTGCTACTTTTGAGTAGCTAAACAAAGATAATTTCAAGAATAAGAAAATGCTGAAAGCAAAAGAATTATTGGGCTACCAAGGTTACATCAAAAGATCTCGGGAACTAGTCTTAAGAAGTTCTCACTAGCCAAAGATAGCAGATTTTTTCCATCAATAAGCAGAATAACTACAATGGATTAAAATACATTATTCTAAAAGTTACTATAACAATTAAGAGAAAAGAAGCAAGCATTTATTCTGCCTTTCTTGTACAAACTGAACTTCTCCATAACCAAACAGATAATGAGGGAAAGTTCTTTACAGGAGTATTCTAGTTCATAAGTGAAAAATAAATGTCACCATTTTGCAACTCCTATTAAAATATGGATTGCTAAATTTATTAGGTGAAAAACTGACAGAAAACCTTAAGGACAGATTAGGCTGGCAATACCTGAACCACTCCCTCATCAATCTTAATATCACAAAAACAGAAAACACCCAACATGTTATGTCCTCCTGATGTGATGCAACAGGAAGCATATAATGTTACCTATAAAGAAGTTTTGTCAAAACTGAAATCTGAATCTGACTAGGCCTCTGGTCTATCTTTACAGGAAATACAGTGGTCAGAGTACTATGTTAAATGATACCACACATATAATTAGCAAAATTGAGACTAGTGATACTCTAAAAGATGAATATCACAGTTGCTTTAAGAAATCATAAGAAAGTAAACAAAGAAAACAGCAGGAGAAACAAATTTTTTTTTTTTTTTTTTTTTTTTTTTTTTTGAGATGGAGTCTTGCTGTCACCAGGCTGGAGTGCAGTGGCAAAATCTCGGCTCACTGCAACCTCCACCTCCTGGGTTCAAGCGATTCTTCTGCCTCAGCCTCCCGAGTAGCTGGGACTACAGGCGCGTGCCACCACACCCGGCTAATTTTTGTATTTTTAGTAGAGACAGGGTTTCATCATGGTCAGGATGGTATCGATCTCTTGACCTCGTGATCCGCCCACCTCGGCCTCCCAAAGTGCTGGGATTACAGGCGTGAGCCACCACGCCCGGCGGAGAAACTTAAAGATTTAAAGAGACTTAAGAGGCATATAAAACAAATGAAATATTCGGGTCTTGATTCAAAGAACGGTACACACACACACACACACACACACACACACACACACACACACACACACAGGCACGCACACATCCACCCCTGTATGAATCAACTGGAGAAATCTGAAAATTGACTGGGTTATTTGATGATATTAAGAAATGATTTTTTTAAAGGTGTGTTAGTGATAACTGTGGTGTTTTTTTAAAAGGGACCTTATCTTAAACAATATACATTCATAGGCTGAGCAGGGTGGCTCACGCCTGTAATCCTAGCACTTTAGGAGGCTGAGGCAGGCGGATCACAAGGTCAGGAGTTCGAGATCAGCCTGGGCAACAAGGTGAAACCCCGTCTCTACTATAATACAAAAAAATTTAGCTCGGCGTGGTAGCGGGTGGCTGTAATCCCAGCTACTCAGGAGGCTGAGGTGGGAGAATCACTTGAACCCAGAAGGCAGAGTTTGCAGACGTTATGCTACTGCACTCCAGTTTGGGCGACAAAGCGAGACTCTGTCTCCAAAAAATATATATGTATGTGTATATGTACACACACACATATTAATAATTCCAAATTATTTATGGATTTCTTATATATGTATACATACTAGGCCTCTGAAAACAATAAAGAACTGAAACAATGAAAAAAGCCTCCTTATTTTTAGAGACACACACTGATATATTTAAAAGGAAATAACATGAAGTCTGGGATTTGCTTCAAAGTAATCTGAGGATAGGAGAGGAAGGTCGTACTATAGATCGGGGGTCAGCAAACTATGACCTGCAGGCCACAGGCACATACCTTGTTTTTGCTATGGCCTGTAAACTAAGAATGCTTTTGTATTCTTTTTGAAAAACAACAGCTTTATTGACATAAAATTCACATCATACAATTCATCCATTTAAAGTGTACAATTTAGTACTCTTTAGTATTTAGTATATACACAGTTTTACAACCATCTCCACAAGTAATTTTAGAACATTTTCATCACCCCCAAAACAATCCTACACCCTTTATCAGTCACCTACCCTTCTCATGCCTCTCAGCCCTAAGGAACTATTAAACTACTTTGTCTACATAAACTTGCCTATTTTTGACACTTCACACAAAAGGAAACATGTTTTATTTTCTTTCACTGGATTTTTGCTAAAGGAAGAAGGATTTTTACTTTTTTTTTTTAGATAAGATCTGGCTCTGTCGCCTACATTAGAATGCAGTGGCGTGACTGGCTCACCTCAACCTCTGCCTCCTGGGCTCAAGTGATCCTCCCACCTTAGCCTCCCAAGTAGCTCAGACTACAGGTGCTCACCATGCCTGGCTAATGTTTGTATTTTTTTTTGTAGAAGCAGGGTTTGGCCCTGTTGCCCAGGCTGGTCTCAAACTGCTGGGCTCAAGCAATTCACCCACCCCAGCCTTCCAAAGTGCTGGGATTACAGGCGTAAGCCACAGGACCCAGCCAAGTTTTACATTTTCAAAAGATTTAAAAATAAAGTGACAAAGACCAAATGTGTCCAGCAGAGCTGCAAATACGTATACTATGTGGCTCTTCACAGAAAGTTTGTTGCCCCCTGAAATAAATGAAAAACTGGCCATGTGATGAAAATGGGTGAAGATGAGCGATGCGTACATGGGGTTTACCTTATTTGCTCTACTTCTGTATATGTTTATAATAAAAATGTTTTTAAAATTTTTCTGAACCTGAGATGATGGAAATGTCTGTGCTTCCTATTAAAACGAGTTCAGAGTACAACAGAAACTTTGAGGTAAAAATAGATAATGTTCAAAAGTAAAAAAGATAATAAAATTCCTCATGATGAAGTCTCTGAAGTCATCTTTAAGTCAATGGTTTAAAAAAATTAAAATTTTGCTAAGTTCAATAAAAAAATGAAGTCAATGAGTAAGCACTATTTTCCACACTTGACTTAAAATGTGACCCACTTGGGAAGAGGAAGGGAGGGACATAATTTTCCAGCAGGATTTCTAATTGGTTGTTTCTGAAAGCATTATGAGGATCCTTAGACATTACAAGGTCTTCTGAGATAAGTTCCCAGGATTAATTTTCAGACTTTTAAAAGGGTAGCCAGGGCCGGGCGCGGTGGCTCACGCCTGTAATCCCAGCACTTTGGGAGGCCGAGGCGGGTGGATCACGAGGTCAAGAGATCGAGACCATCCTGGTCAACACGGTGAAACCCCATCTCTA